AAGCGTTATTAACTAAAGTGAATCGCGCTTACTTCATCTCCTGCATCCCGTGGCTGTCCTGCATGACTTGGACAAGTGCTGGGATGGAAGCATCGGTCAGTGAGTTGTTTCTCATTTCCAGCTTCTTCAGTGTCTTACTGGCTCTTATTGCAGTGCACAAGTCTTCAACGCAGGCATTGGTCAGCTGGGTCATTTCAACACTACAAAACAAACAGACCAACATTTAAATGTAGTGGACTATAATGTGGTGATTATGATCACATCATTTTTTTCAACTCACTCCAGCTCTTCCAACAGGCAGCTTGGGTGTGCAACAGCATCCCAGAGATGTTTAACCCCTTGGTCTCCTACTTTATTTAAACCCACGCTCAGGGACTTCAGTTGAGAAGTCCCACTTTTCAGCACTGAGCCCAGTTCCTCAAAGACTGGTTGAGTTAACTCACATCGTGTCAAACTGTAGGGTGGGGCAAAGCACACAATAATGCTGTTATCTGAAATTCACTAAATATTTGAGAAAGGTGTTGCTCTGTCACTAAAAAGTTAATACAAATGAGTCTACCCAAGTTTTTCTAAAGGGCAACCAGGCCGTCTCAGGGCTTGGCAGAGCAACAGCGCCCCCTCCTGGCCTAACTCATTCACTGACAGCTCCAGCTCTGATAGAGTACAGTACTCCGACATTAAGGCCTCCTTCAGATGAGAGCAGCATGCGCCTGTCAGCTGGCACGTATAGAGACTAAAAGAAAAGTTAAAAGGCAGAAAAATATGTAGGGGTGTGATTTTTGTGTTCTTATATTTTACTTTTTTTTTTTTTTAAATCTACAGATGCAGTTTTATTTAAACAGTCTTACTTGAGGCTCTGTAGTTTACAGAGTGGATGTTGCAGGGATACGCACAAAGCCTCCACTCCGCTGTCATCCATCGTGTTTCGTGCCAGTATCACTTTTTTCAGCTCTGATTGTCCAGAACGCAAAGCTGCAGAAAAAACCTTCATGGACGCTTCAGTCAGATCACATCTGTCAAGCCTTTCAATAAACAATAATTATGTGTGTATGTCAGTGATTTAAATAAAAGCAGACAGGATACAAAAGTTTTAATGAAAACTACACTATTGAAGTACATACTTGAGTTCTTGAAGTTTGCAGTGAGGGCTATGCAGTGCGTCGCACAGTTTTGCAAATCCCTGGTCCTCAATCTTATTGAATGACATTACTAACAAGCATAGCTGAGAGGTGCCTGAGGTCAGCACAGAAACCAGGTCTTCACAGCTTTCCTCTGTCAGATTGCAACTTTGAAGACTAAAACCCAAAGCAGGTAAATCATTCTTCCAATTTTAAAAACAAAGATTGCTTAAAAAAAAAGGGCAATTCTTACCATAATTCTTGTATCTTGCAGTCTCTGAGTCCAGTGCAGAGGATTTTGAACTTTTCGTCACCAAGGCGGGAGTAAGAGAGATCCAGCTCCGTGGTAATTCCTCTGTTGAGAGCTGAAGCGAGATGAGGAACAGCCCCAGTACTCAAAAAGCTTCTTTGCAAGCTGGCGGGTGGACAGCACAGTTTAAAGCAACAATCAATGCACTTTGAACATATGAATCAAATGATGTCAATTTTATCTAAACCTGTCTTACACTATCTTGAGTGATAGACTCATAGCTGGAGCCAGGACTTCTGCCATCTCTTCTGTTAGATTCTTTGTATTGTACAGATTCAACGACTTCGTCCCACCAAGGCATGTAACCACATAACTCCAAGGTACACAGTCTTGAAGGGTCAGGCTGCCATAGCTGAGGCCTATTCGTGCTGAGGAGTTGATGATCTCCTTAACCAAGCTCTCATTTTGAGCTTGATGAAGCAGGCGGAAGCATCTATAGTGCTCGTCTGCATTATATCCCTGCAGTGATTCCTCTGAGCTGCTTTTAAACCACTGCTTGAAATCTTTGACCCGATCAGGGTTGAACTCTCCCAGGAAGTTCTCCAGTGGTCTGCGCTGAGTTGGTTCAGAAAGCCCTGAAAGGAAAACATCTAGAAACTTTGTACCATCTTCGTGCTTCTTCAGCATCTTCTCAGCACTCGTATACGTCATCTTGCCCAAAAAGAAAGACAATGCCAGGATGAACTCCTGGATCAGCTGCGAGTGGAACGAGAGCACACATGTATCAGACTCCATTTCACCATCTATTCGCAGGAAAGTATCAACTGAGGTGAGAAACTGTTGAAAGCCAAAGGAATACATTTGCGCTTTGGTGCAGCTCAAATGCTGCTCAACAGAGCAATGAGAAGCCATCCTGCCGAGGGCCAACACCAGCTCTGTGCCCTCTGCTTGACTCAGCGAGAGTGTCTGGATCAAGCCAACCAGGATATCTACAAACAGCTGAGATAAAGTCTCGGGAAGTTTTCCTCCAGAATCAATAAGAGGCTTGTAAACAGAGCAAACTGTCCAACAAAATCTTGGAGATGTACAGAAATCATAAAAGCCCAGAGACCTCTCCATGTGCATAAGTGCTTTGTTGGCAGCAGCAGCATCTGTAAAGAAGCAGTTTCCGAAAGCTTTTCTTTGGGGCTTCAGAAACCCTAACACTTTCACCTGAGAACCGCTAAGAAACTTCAGATTCGCCGTTGGCCTGGTGGCCAACACAACTGCAGCTCCTTTCAGCAGAGATCTGTGAAGCAGACTGGCCACTAAACAGTCCACTGAAACTGCCTGGGTCGGGTGAGAGCAGAGGGTGAGCACAGAGGGGTCCAGGCTGTACTTACACTCATTCAGACCATCAAAAACAACCAGCACATCCTCGGGCTTCTGCAGAACCAGATGCATGGACTGAGGAGGGAAATAGTGGTGACAGCGTTGGATTAAGGTTTCTAAAGAGAGTGCATCTTCACAAGCATTTAAGTCCTTGAAACGGAAATGGAAGACATATTCAAAGTTCTGTAGATGTACACCCTTTGCCCAGTCCACAACGAGCTTCTCCACAGTAGTGGTTTTACCTGATCCTTCTGAGCCTATCAGGATAACAGTTTTGTTCTCACCACTCAGGGCTGTGTGGATGGCTTGATCCACGGTGGGCAAGTTTTCCTCTCTCACTTCGCCTTCTGCAGAGAGTGGGGATATGTACTTATTGTCGTTTATGACTCTGAAAGGCAGGTCTCCACCAAGGAGCGTAGGAGTGCCCTTTGACTTCAGGATATGAATTAGCACGGAGTCTTTGTCCATTGCGTTAATCTCTGTATGTATAAACCAGAAGACAGAATTAAACAATTTGGTTAAAGCGTGCAAGAACAGGCAACATATCATCCGTGTCCACTAATAATTTCCAGTGTGTTAAACTACTTACCAGCTGTGACAACTCAGCTCACGTGTTTACAGAAAAGTACAATAAACACAACTAGAAATAGTTGCCTTGGATACGGTGCTTTTGGAAAACAAACCAAAACACACGAGCGCAGTGCCTCTTCTGTGGTATACTGGTAGAAAAAAAAAGGAAAGAAGAAGTCACACCCTAACTAATCCCTCAAGCCAGTCCTCTTACGTTGTTTTGGGTTGTATATACGAGACATTACGGTAAGAGAAACTGAGACGCGATTTCAAAATAAATACATTTTAACAATAATTTTAAATAAATACATTTTTAAATATAACAAATTTACTACTATATTAATTCTTAATTATACAAACATTTAAAAATGAAGATTTCTAAAGACTTGTAAAGCCGTAACAAGTAAACTCGATGTTTCCAAATACTAATTTCTCTTTATGAACCGTACACCCTCACGGTGTAAATCAGTGTCAAGTTAAGAACTTTTATTACTTTCTTTGGAATCACATTCACCGGAAGATTGCTTTTATTTTGAAATCATATCTCGGGTTCTCTTACCGTAATACCCAGTATAAAAAATAACGCAAAATAACAGGAGGGCTGCCATGATCGCAGTTAAATAGCGGTTAGCTGAAAGTAGGAAGATCGCTGTGGGATTTCAAAATGCATCTGTGTCTTACAGATGGCAGAGCTTCGCCAACTCTTCAAAACATTTACCTACTTGTGTTTTTTAGTTTACCGTATGTGTTTTGTGCTGCTTAATAGCTAATGTATGTTTACTTTTAAAAAACAAAGGTTTTCCCCTCTTTATTTTTGTTAGCATGCTTTTCAAATTCACATATCAAAACAAAACCTACATATGTTTGGAAAAAAATATATAAATATACAATATAGTATTATGGGTGTTAGAATTACACTGGTGTGTATGGGTGTGTGTGCTTGAGCTTCAGTGCATTAACTGATGGGTGGACAGTCAACTCCAGGATTTTCTGATAGAGAGCAGAATTCAAATTTCCAATTAGCTGTCAAGGTCCTGAAGTTCAAGTTTGCTTCATTTTTAGAGGCAGGTAGGTTTGGATAGCTTTCTCTCTTAGTACATGATGTGAAGCATAAAAGTGCAACAAAAAACAAAAAACCCCAAACAAAACTAAAGGGCCCAAATTCTTTTTTCCCTGCACTGTATTTTTAGCTGGCTACTCAAACACAGTCCATCCAGCTTGTGGCACTCGAGTCCACTCAAAGCGGTCTGAGACTTATGTGAAATGCACCAGCTGCACTGAGCTGTAGTTAAAAAAAAAACTGTGTTGAAATTAGACTTCCCCTTTGCAATAAGCTCTTTCACTTGATTGCGTAATAGGTACAAACTTTAACAAACCGACCTGTTGCAACAGTGTCATCCTGTTACAGTAACACAGCTGAAGTGAGCTCCTTAAAACGACTTGGACTATACCTGTGGCAATGACACTGAAAACACCTCAGTTTAGAGATTTAAAGTTGTGACCCAATATCTTTGGGTCCATCTAGTGCATATTAAAAAAAATGTAAAAGCTTTGAAGCTATTTTCTCCTTATGCTTTATAAGAGACACATCAGAACAACAGCTGTGCAGCAAGATCTAACAATAAAAAGAATAGTTTTTAATAGTTATTAGGAACATCTATAGAGCAAACTAACAAACGTCTTACAGTTGCTGAGTACAATTTGTAATTTAATGTGACAGAATCACAAGGAAACGAAAAACAGAGACACAGATACACATGGCCTTTTGATACAGTGAGGTTACAGCAGTTTGAAAACAGATTAATTTAAGGGTAGTTTTAAGTAGCAATCGGTCAGTTCAGAGCACTGCTGCGTTTTATTTGCCTTCGGTGTATGTCGTGTCCATGGTCTCCACTGTCTTGATGAGAACAGGACCTGACCTTTGTCTCTGCATGGTAACGGGCACAGCTGTGGAGAAGTCGGAAAAGGGCGTCGCTTAGATCTCTGAGATGAAGGCTATTGTTATGATCTCATCTTTATTTGTAAAATACAGTGCTGTACTTACTTCGGTTGGGCACTGTTTGGACACTGAACACTCTTTCAGTGCCATCAACACAGTCGTTACTGGCAACAGCTGCTGAAAAGAAGACAGAAAAAAGAGAGAAGAGGGTGTCACTCTGATCCCCGAGATGAAGGCCATTAAGATGATCTCATCTTTATTTGTAAAATACAGTACTGTACTTACTTTTGTTGGGCACTGTTTGGATGCTGATAACAGAGTCTTTACCAAGTCTGTCAGGGTGAAAGCAGGAAATACATTATAGGGCATGTACTGGTAAAGTTATTCACACGGTTGTTCAAGTGAAGGTTGCAAAGCCCTTTGTGGCTCTAGAGGGAGCTGTGCAATAAACCTGTCTCATGTTTAAGATCCAGCAAAGAAAGACAAGTGATAAACCAAATTACCCAAAGTAATTGTTTTACCATTTTGTTTTTTTCCTGCCATAAAACTGGAAGACAGACTTCCAATAAACCATAAATCTCATCTATGTGTTACTTGTCAAAGTCTGGTTCTGGTTCTGGATGTGGATTGGGCTTTGCAGATTGGATGTAGATTTGTCTTTCAAACTTGCACCTGAAAGGCCGCTCTGCTCTACGACTGCAGTTACCACCAGTTGTCAAATACCTGTGGGTGTTTGCATTCCACCCCTGGGCTCAGTTCTTTATTGTTTAATGCAACACACCAAGGTGAACTATTTGAATAGTGAGACAAATATGTGGTTGTGAAACTATTAAAAACAACCAAACCAAACAAATAACTTCTTGTTTCTGACTGAGGCTTTTGCTCAAGGTGGTGTTTTTTTGTTTTTCTATACCACACCCAATTTCCATCTAAACTGTCGGATGACAGATGGTATGCACGTACAGTAGCTCATACAACCAAAAATATCAGTAATGATTAATATGTTTTAATCATTTTCTGAATCACTGTAGACAGTTTCCAAGCTGCAACCTTACATCAATGGTCATCCATTCATCCATCCATCCATTCATCCATCCATTCATCCATCCATCCATCCATCCATCCATCCATTTTCTTCCTTAACACATTGTTGCCAGCAACCTCCTAAGTTCTGCTGGCTTACCTTTCTTCCTCTCCCTCCAGGAGTTTCCTGTAGGTGGAGATCTCGATATCCAGGGTCAGCTTGACATTCATGAGGTCTTGGTAGTCTCTGAGCTGCTTGGCCATGTTATGCTTGTCCTGCCTCAGAGCCGCCTCAAGGTCCTTAATGCGGCTTTTTGCATCTATTACAGCCTCTTCCCCTCGCTCTTCCATATCAGATATGCTTACCTCATTGTGGGAATACTGACAAAGAGAAAAGCTTTATTTAAATCTGAGCTTCACAGTGATTCCTGATGATTTTAATAATAATAATGGATTGGATTTATATAGCGCTTTTCAAGGCACCCAAAGCACTTTACAATGCCACTGTTCAATCACTCTCACATTCACACACTGGTGGAGGCAGCTACAGTTGTAGCTACAGCTGACCTGGGGCAGACTGACAGAAGCGAGGCTGCCATATCGCGCCATCGGCCCCTCTGGCCAACACCAGTAGGTGGAAGGGTAAAGTGTCTTGCCCAAGGACACAACGACCAGGACAGAGAGCCCGGGGATCGAACCGGTAACCTTCTGGTTACAGATGCGCTTCCCAACCCCCTGAGCCACGGTCGCCCCGATTTTGTAAAAATTGGGGGTTTTTGTGTGGGTTATGGTAACAGGAAAACCAAACTGCTTTTTCAGAGCAGCTAACAATAACTAAATGTATGCAATTAGCTGTCAGTTCAAGATGAAAAAATGTTTCCTTTGATTTGTTTTCAGTTTCCTTTCTTTTTATGAGAACAGGAGCTAAACCTGTTGTTCCTCTTGATACTTGTTAAAATCCAGTTTAAGATCAAACAGACTATGAGGTAGTCTTAAAGCCCTTCACTCACCTGTTCCTTCATAACATCAATCTCAGTCTGCCGACGAAGAATCATTCGCTTAAGCTCAGCTATTTCGGCCTTAGTGTTTTGCAGCTCGCTGTTATGTTGCTGGACCTGCACTTTCATCTGATCAAACTGGTGTGGAAAAATATCAAACAGCGAGACAAGGATATAAACACAGTAATTATTGGGTTAACAAATGCCGTTTTGACGTTGTAGTAGATTTATGAGCGGCAACTTCTGAGCCCTTTTCATGTCTCTATGCCCATTTTCCTAGTTGGTTTATTACATCAACAGTAATGAGCAAGAATTCATCTTAGACCTTCACCTTGCTCTTGTACCACTTTTCAACTTCTTCACGGCTGTAAGCAGCAATTTCTTCATACTGAGCCTTAACATCAGCTATAATGTGGTCCATGTTCAGGTTGCGGGAGTTGTCCATCTGCACCACCACAGAGGTGTCCTTCACACGCTGCTGCATGTCATACAGCTCCTTATTTAAAACAACACATACAGCGAAAGTTAAGAGGAAAAAATCCAGAATATGACACCTAATTTAATTCACTGATTTAAATTCTGAAAAGGTTTTTAATGTAAGCTTGTTTACCATCTGATACACTTCTTTGAGGAACAAGATTTCATCCTGAATAGCTGTCAACTGGCTTTCCAAATCCACCTTTCTCATAATTTCTTCATCCACATCCTGGAAGCAACAGAATAAATAAACAACTTTTCTTTTCACTGCTATTTTTTTTTTTATTACTCACAAATAAAAGTATTAGTGTCATTGCATACTGCACCTTTTTGAGCAGTACAAAATCATTCTCTGAAGTGGCCCTGCAGTTGATCTCTTCCTCATACCTGAAACACCCACAAAATATCAAATTACACACAGACAGACACCCCCCCCCCCCCCACACACACACAGAGTTCTTATCACTGTCCACTTTATTATCATATATCAAAGCTGACCTCCTGTTAAGCAGTGGTTTGATTTCTTCCACCAGGATACCTTACTTAGTCTTGTAGTCTTCCACAGTCTCGACCATGGCTGTGAACTCATTTTCAAGCCTCACTTTATCGTGTCTGCAAAGCTCCAGCTGTTTTTCCAGGTTGGAAATGAACGTCTTAATAATGGACTCCGCATCATCAGAGGAGGGGGCACTTTGCTGATTCAGGAGCTTCCACTTGGTTTCCAGCACTTTGTTCTGCTGCTCCAGCTGTCTGACCTGACACACGAGAAGGGATACGAACAAATTCCAACACAGTCCCACTTTAGGTTTTAAAAGAAGCTTCAAATGCCACCGAGTTAACTTGGAATAATAATAATAATAATAATAATAATACATTTTATTTATGAGTGCCTTTCAAGTCACCCAAGGACACTTTAATGGTTTATAATAAAAAGATTTTAAATGTGACAGTAAAATTTCCTCTTACCTTTTCGATGTAGGATGCAAACTTGTTGTTAAGAGTCTTCAGCTGATTTTTCTCCATGGTGCGTATAGTTTGGACGGTGGGATCAACTTCTAAGTTTAGTGGGGCAAGCAGGCTCCTGTCGATTGTTACTGGTTTGATATCGGTAGCGGTGCTGATTTGGCGGATGGAGTTGGATCCCATGGAACTACTGCTGAATCGCCCTGAAGGTGAGTTCAGCAGGCTCTTCCGCTTGCTCCTCAGACTCATGGTGCTGTTGAGTTTGCACTGCTGGAAAGGATGGGGAGCTCAGCTGGTAGAAGTGGTGGTATAGCTCTGTTGTGCACGTTTTATCTTTTTGGCTGCTTTATAAGGCAGAACTGGGCGTGTTGTGATAGTGAAGTGATTGAATGTGGGTAAACCAGTTTGACACATACCTCGTGCTCTCCCACCTACCCCTCACTTTAAAGATGCAACAGGAAACTATTCCTGCTCCACAGCTTCAGGTGAGTTCCGTAACAAACTAAAAGTCTGCACTCACACAGTCTGAAAACTCAGTAAATCAAGAAGTCATCAAGAAAAATAAAACATTCCCTGTTATGAATAAAGAAAGATTTTATTTAACATAATGAACTGCAGAGCCACAAGTTTTTAATGTAAATTTAAGTCAGTATATGCAGAAAATTCTTTCAGTAGGCAATGTTACTTTTGGAAATGTTCCCAAATATTATAATATGCATTACACACTGGAAACTACATGCACATCAGTGGACCTCGTAAAACCTCCCTTAACTGAAAGAGAAACTCTGAAGTCCTGAAACTCTAGTAGTACGTTTAATAAAAAAAAGTCACAAATTTTCTGGAAAACTGTTATTTTTCTTCTTGAGGTACTAAACTAGTAAATATGATTGTAAGAGAGTAAAGTCAAAAAAGTACAAGGAAAACCTTACCAACTAACTACGCCCTCATAACCTCACACACTCCACTCATTAACAGGAAGCTCCTTACTTGGTTATTATGGACTAAAGTATTTCTTTATTTCTATCTTTGATTGCTCTCCACTGCTGCTGCCTCTGTGCTGTGATAAATTTGACACAGTTATGACAGTTATGATTACAAATTATCAACCATGGGGCAGGGTCGGGGGTTCGAATTCACCGAATGGCTACCCTGAGGTACCCCTGAGCAAGGTACCGTCCCTACACACTGCTCCCCGGTGTGGCTGCCCGCTGCTTCACTGAGTGAATGGGTCAAATGTAATTTCCCCACTGGGATCAATAAAGTACACATTATTATCCTATGGAACAAAAGAGGAAAATAGTTTGATTTAAAAATTTACCACACTTAAATTAAATGTGTTTTCACTAATGTTAATAGAAACCAGTTGTACTAAAAAAAAGGAAACCTGTCTGTTCTCTTGTTTGTTTTTCAAATCCTCCCTCTCTCCCTGCGCGTCCAATTATCCAATCATCGCTTTCCTTTAAGCAAACAACTACTGTACAAAGGAAAAATGTTCTCACATAACCAGATTTATAAGGGTTTGTTTGTATGACACTGAATCTGTGCCACCCGCTCAACATTTCATCAGAGCTGAATAAAGTCAAGAGAACAGAGTGAGCGTCATGCGTATACTTAAAATGCTTTTTGCATGACACTGAATATTTCCTTCGGGTCTTCCTTTGACACAAATGAAGATTGCTTCATTCAATTCATTCATTAGTCTCAGATCAATGCTGGATCTGAGACTAATGTCTCAGATCCAGCGGTCCTGACAAGCCTGGTTAAGGTAAAACATTTCTCCTTGGCGTTAGCGAGGCAAACCAAAGAATGAAATGGCTGATATGAACTCTTTAAATGAGGACGCCGTGTACAGAGTCAACACATCACAAAACATGTGTAATGCATTTCTTCTTTGGAAATTTGTTGTCAATGTCACTCACTCATGAGTGTTGGGAAACAGTCATTATCAAGTGTGAAAATGAAAACTGGGAAGTAGCCAGGTGCATTATCAGGGTTAGTAAAAAAGAAAATCGCTTCTCATTTCTTCTGCTTTCATTATCATTGATTCAAAACAACCCCAAAACAACAACAAACAAACAAAAACAAAACAATAACACTGTTTGCACTTCTTTTATTAACAAAGCTTATTTGTTGTAGATTGTGTCTTGATATGACATCATAGTTATTCTGGAGGTGGTGAATGTGACTGGAGATTCTGTTAGAGTGTTAGTGGAAGAGCTGAACGGGTGAATTTACTTAAAAAAAAAAAAAAAGATTTTCTGACTAAAGTAAAACTGTCTCTTCCTATAAGTATGCTTACTTTTACTGTTGTCCACATCTCAGGGTCAGCATCACCCATCACTATGCTCAGCAGCTCAGTACCCGTCTGGGAAGGAGCAGATACAAGGAACAGTTCCTGTTTCTGTACAGGCAAGCTCAAATAATCCCACATACTGTAAAGCTGAACAGCTCTATAGAATAATTTTTTTGTCCTGCTGGAAGGGACGATGTGGTCGACCTTATCGATTGCTATCAGTATAAGGATGACCAGGTCGATGATGTGGATGCATTTAAAAGAGAGCCCTATATTCTCTACTTTAAAACTCATAACACAGGTCAATCTTTGCCCCTACTGAAGATTATGGTACCTGGTTCAGTCAGAACAAGGAGTTAGTTCTGTATGTGTACATGTTAGTCAGTTGCTGGGACATCAGCAGTATGTACGAGTCATTTTTAACCGTGGATCTGTTTGTTGAATGAGTCTGATGCAGCGTGACATGCTAATTACAGCAGACTGCAGCAGGTTTATCAGGTTTAGTGTCTTGTGTGAGCAGGCAAATATGTTTAACTTACAGTATGTAACTACAGAGGATGTTATTGGAGTCAAGTCAACTGTTTCTTTTGCAGTGCTGAGGGATATAGTTCCGATCCCGATGCATTTTTTGAGTTGTGATACACATAGATAAAGATATATAGAGACAGAGATATCAGATCAGAGGAATCACATCTATTGCACAACCTGTAAATTATCACTCAGTGTCCTCATATTTTCTTTAGGGATATTTAAAGTTGTATTAGCCTGAAAAGCTGCGTTTTTGTTTTTTGTTTTCTTAATTTCCTTTAGAATGTAATGATCCTGGGAGACTTCAGGGCAGATGGCTGGTATCTCTCATCCAAGGAAAGGGAGGAGATCCACATTCGCAGTGACAAGAACTCTTACTGGCTGATTGGTGATAACGTGGACACCAGGGCAAAAACAAGTGATCATCACGCTTATGACAGGTTTGTTAGAAAGATTTGTGGCAAGATATACAATTGTGGTCAGAAGTTTATTTGCCCTCGTTGAGGGCATGAATGTCAATGTAATGTTTGGCTTTTATTGATTTATTTGAAGTGTTTTTTTCCAGGATGGAATAATTATACAGCATACATCTTTAATGATTAAAAAAAAAGAAAGAAGAATTGGATGCATACGTTTGAATTTATTTCTTTAGTGGTCACAATCAACTACAACTGGTAGTTTCTCCAAGATTTAAGCTGCACAATCATTGCACCCTGGAAAATGAACAGTTCAAAGAAATTATTGAAAGCCCAGAATTATCATAACATTTATACCCATGATGACTGTATGTAAATGTCTAACCACAACTGCATATGTTGTTATGTGAATTCATGAATTGAATGAATGCACATCTTCCACAGGATAGTTGTGTATGGAGAAGATATGCTGGCAGCCATTGTGCCAAACTCAGCTAAACCATTTAACTTTCACAAAGAGTTTCAAATGACAGAAGAAATGGTGAGCTATCTGATCTATCCCTCTTCTTGATATGCACTTGAATGGCTATTTTTCTTTTCTATTTTTCATTTTATACACAAATCCTTGTGCCCTTAGGGTGAGCGATCACTACCCCGTTGAGGTGGAATTGCTATTCCCTTTTGGGTGAAAAAGAGCAACAACAGATGTGCAGTTGTTGACACCCAGCAAGGATTCAGGAGAGCTGTGACAGGTAAAGAGCAAAACACTAATATACTTTATCTTGTTCCTGATAGATGTGGAAAAAGCTGGGATACAACCCAGCTCAGAAAACTAGATGGAAAATTCACATAAAGGAAGAAAGCAGTGATTTCCAAATGCATTTTAACTTGTATTTCAAGAGTCAAGTCGAGTCAAGAAAGCCTTTATTTGTCACATGCAAGTTCCCCTGCAGCAAAATGGGACCCTCCCTGACCTTACATACACAACACAGACATCACATGGGGAGACAGGTCAGAGACCGGTAGTATTATGGAAAAACACTGAAATGTACACTACAATGGGCAAGACGAGGAGGGAGAAAAAAGAGACCTCTACTCATGCTGGGCTCCTATGGGGGGACAGCATGAGAACAGAAAACAAAAAAAACCTCCTCTGCACAAAGAGCACAGAAATGTCCACATCACAACATCATGAAGCACGTGACAAGCAAGCTGACAAGCTGATACACCAAACTGCTGAGGTCAGCACGCTGATAAAACATGAGGAAAACTGTGAAGTCTCTTAAAACAGTGCTCCTTAATGAAAGAACAGGAAGTGTTTTGGACTGTTCGCGACTTAGGGTGTGTAAAATAATTCAAAGTTTTACCAGTACACTGAAAAGCAATCCGGGATTTTGGAGCAAACTACCAACGTACTCCCTTCATGCAAACTGCGTTTTGCATGAATCACAAAGGCATGGCTGCGTAAAAGGCATGGCGTGTGCACCTGCCTGCCTCCCGTCAACACTTCTATTCAATAGAGAAGGTATGTTTGCAGGAAGAATGAAAACAACTGAATCACTGGCTCTCTTGGTGTTTTTGACCCTTAAATGTCATTTAGCATTGTGAAAAAGAGTGGATATAATAAAGAATAGTGACATATACTCGCCTGACCCAATATTTGCATTGTTGCATGTATCAGAATCAGTCATATCTGTGTGACGAAACATTCTCAGTGCAATACAGGCCAAAGGTAATTTGCAAATTGCAGTTGGAATTTAAAATTACGCCTCTCATTTGTTGTGATTAGATGTTATTCTTCTTTTGATGTTTTAGTGCAGTGTAGCCTCTATGAAGGAATTTGGGAGTGTCATTTTTGAATTCAGTTTTCATTTTTGAACCGAATGTGTCATGAATTCAGTGGTTTCTCACATACATCTGCTTTAAAGATTTTGTAACTAATCTATACATTTGGGGTGATAAAAGGTCATGAAATCTTACATCCAAGTTTAAAAGGATGGGGCTTTGGGACATTTTCACTTTTCTTATTGTATATAAATAACAGCAATAATGAACTGATTTTACTAACACTTAGAATCTTTTGGTCCAAAGCCCGAGTTCAGCTTTGAGTCATAGAGCTTTTGTTTTTTGTTTATTTTACCTAATAAAGCTTAACTTGTATTTACAGACTGGTCTATAGCTGGACCAACTGTGATGTTTGAAATTAATTTGAACTGTCTGAGCAACAATCTTTACCAAAACTGGTGCACATGATCTATAAACTGGGTCTTAGTGTTTCTAAGTTTTGTCACAGCAAATTAAAATTGGAGTTGAGTTAATATCTCAACAACCTTTTGATCTGTGATCAAAAACAAACTGGTTACACGGACCACACACTGTATTACAGAACTGGATTTAGTCTTTTCCAGGTAACCTCAGGGTTAACCCTGGGTTTGTGTGGGTTAGTGTGAAGGCGGTTCACTTGTTATCTCTGTAAATTGCCATAGTAACATAACCTGCTCCAGAGCAGATTATGTTCCAGATTAGAGATCAGCGAGTAGGAAATCAGCGATTTCTGATCCGAAATCGATTCTCTGAAAAAGCATTGCCATTCCTGGAAAATCCCTCAGAAATCTGTGTGTGAACAGTAGGAGCGTTAAAGTTTTGCAGTAGCGTGTAATGTCTTCGTGTTTCCCTGATGATTAGAAAGAAAAGAGGCAACTTTATTCTTAGATATTTTTTTTCTGACTATGAACAATTTTACAGTTTTATTGTTTGATAAGCCTCAGCACACAATCTTAAAACAGATAACCTGATTGTATTTGCTGACTTTCCATTCAATTTGCATAGAGAGTAATTTTGAATGCAGTTTTCATATTTATCTTCAGGATATTTGATTATAATCCTTCAGATTCTCCTGTCTTAAAGATAGGGTTGAGTCTGTTCACTTGCACAGTTAGCCAGCTTTCTTATCAGGCTTTGCAAAGCGCATTTGTCCAATGTTGTTAAAAGTAAACAACTTTACAGTAATTTGCATTCTCTAGTGAGAAAGTAACTCAGAACCATCAATCTACCACACACACACACACACACACACACACACACACACACACACACACACACACACACACACACACACACACACACACACACACTTTTCTGTTAAAGTGTGTTTATTGTGTTTTTTCTCCTCCCAAATAACCAAGCTTAACCAAGTTAAGCTTTTTTTTTCTTTTTAGGATTCTGAATAAATATTGTGACATACAGTACAATACAAAATAAGTAAATATGGGTGTAATGCACGTATTGCCTCTGTCTGTTACTGAACTGC